ACAGGTTTAAGACGACTGTGGGAGACCCACGCCAGGGTCTGTGACAGCACAGAGCGCGCGCAGCCACCAGCAGCAGCCTCGGCCCAAGCTGCAGAGAATTAACGCACCTCTTCCCAGGGCCACGAGCTGGCACGTCTTCAGGCCCCGAGCCCACGCTCTACCTGCTCCAAAGAAAGGCAGCTCTCACCGACAGCCCTCACGCCGCGGCAGCTCTAAGGCTCTTACCAGTCAATATTTTATGCCAGGTACTTAAACCCAACTGGAGTTTTCTGCTGACGCTCACACAAGCGTGCAAGGCTCAGCCAGCTCCCCCCAGCGCTGCGCACCCCCGGGGCTGCCTGCTGCCCGCTCTCGGACCAGCTACGGCACGCGGTCGCGGTTACCTGGTGCTGTCTTCTCCAGGAACAAAGCTGAGATCGTCAGGACCGACCTGGTCGCCCTCCGGGAACATCGAGCACCGCTCTGAGGCTGAAGACAAACCAAACAAGCCCCCAGTGACCTCCACAGCCGAGCAAGCGGAACACAGCAGGTGAACCTCCCACCACCCGCAAGGCCCCCCGCGCGCTCCTTCATCCCTAACGCAGCGGTACACGGTGTGCTCGACGCGGAGTTAAGACTGCCACGGGGTTTTAAATTTAAGATATCTTGAAGTCAAGCACAGACATGAGCGATGTTTTGACGCTTCTGATTCGGGTTGCGAGGTTCCAGCACCTGCTGCAGACACACGGCAACGCAGCAAAGCCCAGTTACTGAGCCGAGCCGTTTGGCCGTGCCACTAATGCCGCACGGGATGCTTACTCAGGCCAAAAGTCTACTTCACCTCACGTCAGCTGTCACCTTACGGCTTTTAATTTGATCAAAAGGTTAAAGCTTTTCAAAGAAATACGAGATGAGTTTTTGAAGCTACACTGAAGGCTCAAAGCACACGCCTGCCAATTAAGATGCAAATCCACGTCTAAGGCAGCAGTCACCTCCCTGAAATCAGCCTACTCACACCGCCGATCCTGGTACGGAGCGAGCTCCAATTCAGAAGAACCAGAGCTGTGGGTTTTCCAACACCTCCCCGGGAGACTCACCTAAACTGACTTCTCAAGGCTAGAAAGAGTTCCCCTCTCCCGTTTTGATCTGTTTTTAGTTAGGATCCCAAGAGGGGAGTTCCAAATCTTACTGGCGCTCGCTTGAGCTTTAACACCTCTGCAGCACCGCCCCGGGAATGGGGCTCTGGCAGCGTCCGGCCCCACGGGAGCTGCGGGGCGGGGGGCCCACGCTGCCAACTCTACCTGCGCTTGAGGGCTGGGCAGGGAAGGCATGGCTAAACCCCTCCGAGGCAGAGGCGGCGTCCTCCTGCTCTTCGTTCTCTGTGTCACATTCAATGTCACTGTCGCTGCTCATTCCTGGGAGGAGATGAAGGACATGCTTCTGACACAGCCCAGCTGTAAAAAAACCCAAAACACCAAAAACCACAAGGCAAAATATGATGGCAGCAAGATCTATGTAGCTGGAGCATTCAACTTTTTCACACGTCAGAGTTACCGGCATCAAACACCAAGCGCTGGCAGGAGAACAGAAGAGGAGGAGCACGTTCCGAGCGCAATGTATTTACCAAAGCACAATGGAACGGGAAGAACAGCGGGCGCCAGTTTGGGAACAGCCTCCCTGCACGGTGCAGCTCAGCGCAAGGACAGCGGCTCCAACACGTCACCAGCGGAGCACGGACTCAGGCGCCCGTAGCTCCCTCCTGCTCGGGCTGGGCTGCGCTCCCCTGCCAGCTGCTCCATCTCCTCTACCATCAGCACAGTGAACCCAGGTTGCTTTTTAACCGCTGAGAGGTGGCACCACCCGCCGAGCGGATGAACCTACCGACCCTTCAAGACTCTACTGCAGTCTCACACGCAACCCCCCCCCGTTTTTTCCACAAAGAACCACAGCTGATAATCAAGGTGGCTTCTTTTGTTTTGCCAGACCTCGAGTGCGGATTGACAGCAGTCGAAACTCTCCCTTTTGTACAGTTTTGTAGGTGGCAAAAGGGGTTTGCTCTGCTCTTTTACTTCTTAAGAGCTGATACTCATTGCTAAGAAAAAGCAAGCAGTTAATCGTGGTGTCAACTCTACAGTAGTTTTTCCTCTGAAAGAAAAAAAAAAATTGTAATATTTGTTTCCTGGGGTTTTTAACAATGAAGTATTTCAGTTTTTAAAACGTTTTCCTATTAGGCTCTCTGCTATAATAGGAGAGCTGCGGGAGCGCATCATGATCACGCTGCAGTGACTAAGAGCAGAAATTCGGTTTTGTCACTGAGAGACCTTCTGTAAATGCCAACTCCTACACAATATTGCACACTGCAGATAGAGATGGATGCTGGCACCTTAATATAGGCTTTGCGCTACAATTCAGTCATTGAAATTCAAATTAGTGCAGGGGTGGAAGGCAGGAGAGTTTTAGCAAGATAAGAAAAACTCTTCTACGTGGACTTTCAAAAAAAAAAAAAAAAAGGCAATAATATTTTTTTTCCAGCATGGAAAGGATGCAGGAAGGGAGGGGGAAAAGTTTCCTCCAAGTCTCTAAGGAAACTGGCTTACGTACCACAACACCCAACACCAAAGAAACACTGGAGAGATTCTAGTGCGGACGTGGAGGTAGTCACCAACGTGCTTTGGCCCTGAAGGCAGAAGACTTCAAAGCCAAGGTCACTGGCTACTGTTTTAATTAGGTAAGAAATTATTTTCAAGGCCATGCAACTGAACACCAAAGTAAAGACCTGGGGACAGATCAAGAGGTACAAAAAGCAACCAGCACTCCAGAGAAACAGACGGCACCGTACAGCGTTATCTGCTGGGCCCTCACATCCCTGCTGCACCGCAGGTCACGAGCGGAGAGAGCACATCAGCAGTGACACAGAGGTGTCCTCTCCTCAATCCGACTGACCCTACAGCTGCCAAATGTTACAGCAAAGCTCAACAGCCATGAAAACAGGCTCTGCGTTTGGAGTGGTTTTTTTTTTCCTTCCCCTCTTTTTCTTTTCCCTTCAAGCTCTTGCCACTACAGAAATGGATCATCACAGACTGGAGTGCTGCCATGCTGCGTTTGTCCTCTACAACACCCAATTTACCTTCTTCTGGCCCTGCAGAAGCACCTTCAGAGAGCCCAGCCTGCAGTTCACCAGTTTCAGAGCCACTTTCCAGCCCACCTGACTGCGCTCCTTCTGTACGACAGCCTTTAGAGTTTGATCTTGAGAAAGAATTTTGGAGAAATATAAAACCCCACATTAGAAATTCAGCTTTAATGCAGCTACAGAAACAAATCCTTTTAGTGCCACATCTAGTTTTACTCATTGTTTAAGTCTCTTGCATATCCACTTAAAACTTTGATTGATTTAGAAATATTTAAAATCTTAAAACAATAAACCTGGAGAAGTTTGATTATTTTCCAAAAATGGTGACACTTGCTGTTTAGAAAAAAATAACCCGAGTACTCCACTGCACTTGGCTTAGTCAGCCAACAGGGAATTATTATGAAATTGCTGAAAAGCAGAGTCACAGTGAAAAACATTGTCTT